GTTTTTAAAAATCTCTCTAATTGCGTTTGTGTTTCTCGTCTTCCAGGGCTTTTATTTATTTGGTTTGTTTGATTGTAGTGTATGTTTTATTGTTACGGATAATTTGGGAGATATTGTTAATGGTTACGTTTCTCTTTAGGCTTCGTGTTTATTTCTGGGTGGTATTTTTATTTTGATCGAATGAGGCTCTATGCGTTTATTCTTCAGTTGGGAATAATTTTTTTGTTGTAAATTAAAGTTGATTTGGTTTGGGGGACTTTTGTTTTACAAATGTATTTTCTTTTCTTTTCTTTTTTTTTTCTTTTTTTTTTTTTTTTTTTCGTTTCTTGTCGTCCTTTGACGTATTTGGTGGTTGTTGATCAGTTTTATTTTTGGGAACGTGGGTATTTATATGGTGGGTCTTTTTAAGTAGTTTTTTTTTTTATTTGGGTAGTTATTTTCTTATTTTTTAGTGGTTGAGATGTTTTGGTTTTTTCTATTTCGTTAATTAGTTCGCTTTCTAAAGTTCTTTTGACAGAGTATTGCTTATTCTTTGAGTTAGTGTAGATGTAGAATTTTGGTTAGTTTTTAAAATAACGTTCAGGGTCAGTGGCACTGATTGGAGTTGAGTGAGTTGGTTTGGTTTTTTTTAGAGGTTTTTGTGATTTGCTGCGTGTGTTTCTCAAGGGTTTTCTTTTCGTTTGGTTCCATTTTTCTGATGTGCTGAGAACTGTTAGTGAAAAGAGTGTTGTGTGTTTTTTTCGGCTGCAGTTGTTTGGCTGGTGGAGGTATCTTGATGATTTTGGAAGACATAGGTGGGAATTCGATGCTGTTTGTTTTGTCATTGTATTTAGGAATTGGATTTTAAATGTAAAATTCTAAGGATAGCTATATTTAAACAAAACAAGTAGATGTGTAGAAATGGGAATATACTTTTATTTTGATCTATTCGATCTATATTTAAAATTTAACAGGTAACATAAGTCAAGATATATTCCAATAAGATATTGTATTTTTTAATAGAGTATTGTGTATGTTTATAGATATATCAATAGAGATGATAAATATAAACACTACTCAAACAAAATTTTAAATATAGAAATGCGTATCTATGCAGTTACATATATAAAATTATTAAAGGATTGTAAATATAAAGTGACATAAATCCATACAACATGTAATACAAGTGATACTGTATATATCTTATGATGATATATTATAGGAAATAGCTATAAATATAGTACATCACTATGATATAATATCTAAAACATGTTAGATATGGTAAATATAAATACAACAATATTATTAAAAGTAGTTTAAAAGAAAGGATGGTTTTGTTTTTTACTTGGCAAAAGCAGGGGTTTTATTATAAAAACTACAAATACAAATAATAGAAAGGTATAAATCGAATTGTAAAAATATCTCATGAATACATCAAGATTAATATAAAAATTGAAAATATTAGAAAAACTAAGTTGTAGCAGTAGATTTGGTACATAATAAAAATAATAATTTATCTATGTGATGTGAATAATATATATGTGATATGTAATTATGAATAGAATGCATCAGTAGAAAGGGTGACTATAAAAGTGAATATAATTATGCAAGCTATAAATATAAAACTATTTCAATATAGTTTAAAAGAAGTTTTTTTGGTATTTGTTTGGTTAGAGATGGGATTTTTTTTTGGAATAATAAAAGTATGATAATAATAAAAGAAATCTAAATCGAAGTATAGAAGTATACAATCAATATATAATGATATTGATAAAACCACAAAATATGAATAAATAGAGATAATAGGAATAGACATAATAGATTGTATAAACGACGTAACACATCACTGTCCGGTAGAAATATGCGTGTGAATAGAACTAGGAAAACTAGAACTATAAAATTTATTTCAAGAAGGCTTGAAAGAAAGGGGGCTGATTTGGTTCTTGTTTGGTAAGAGGCAGGTTTTTGGCATTTATTTTTAGAGGAGTTTTTGGGGGGGATCGCCCCTGTTCTTTTTTGCCGCCTTGGCTGCCAGCAGCCCCAAGGCGCGCAGCGCCCCCGGCTGGGGTGGGCGGCAGTGCTGCCGCCTTGTGGGCAGAGCGCGGTGCTGCAGCCCGCCGGCGCCAGGCAGCCCTCTTGGGCGTGGCGCGTGGTGGAGTTTGTTTGACCTTCTGAAAATGGCGGCCAAAAGGGCGGGAAACTGGAGGACCCCGGTGTGTGTATCCGGACTGCCTGCACGGAACACCGACGCTGGCGCGGCCCCGGCGGGGTTTTCTCTTGCGTTTTAGGTGTACCCGACACGGGCTGTGGGGTCAGCGGCATCGCGGGCGGGCGTATTTTGGTGGGTTTGTGACCGGCATCTGAGTAACCGCCTCTCTTGGCCGAGGCGGGGGGGGGGGGGTGGGGTCCTCCCTCGGCCGCCATGTTGGGAATGGCGTGTCGCCAATGTCGCGGGATTTTTTTTTTTTTGACCTTCTCAAAATGGCGACCAAAAGGGCGGGGAAATCGCGGACCCGGGAGTCTGCCGCCCTGTGGCCAGAGCGCGGTACTGCAGCCCCCCGAGCCAGCGCCCTGCCCCTCGCCGCTGGCTGCCGGGGGCGGGGCAAGGACGCGGCTGCCGAGCGAGGCGAGGGGCGGGAGCGAGGGGCGGGCGGGAGCGAGGGGCGGGCGGGGCGGGCTCGGTAAATGGCCGGGAGGGGTGAAAGACGTTCAGGAGTGCAAAAGGGACACGATGGCTGAGAAGAATGCCCGAGGGGGGGGGGGGGGGGGGCGGCCCGGCGGGGCCGCTTTCGGCGGGCGGCGGAGGCACGGTCGCAGCGCTCCGCGGGCCGGGGGCAGCGAGCGGGGGCGGGTCAGTGCCGTCGGAACGGGGCTGCACCCCGCCGAGCCCGCGCACGCGCCTCTCCAGGTGGCGGAAGCGACGGCGGGCTGAAAAATCCCGGCGGGGCGGCGGCGCGCAGGCGGCGGAGCCGGGGTCGTGGCGCTGCCCGCCCTTTCTGCCGCCAGCTTTGCAAGGTAAGACCGCCCGCCCCGTCCCGCCCCGTCCCGTCCCGCCGCCTCCCGGTGTCTGTAAACTTCTCTCTTGCTTCCCCCTTCTCCGTGCTGGAGAGTGGGAGAAAGGTCCCTGCTGGTTGCCGTGTCCTCGGTGGGCAGAGAGCTCTGACCTTGGCCGGATGGGCTGCTGAGGATTGGATCCATGGGGATGTGCTTTGATGCATTTAGTGACCTTTACAGATTTCTTTCCCTGCTTTTTTCAGTTCACAGAATCAGGGAATAATTCAGGTTGGAAGGGGCTCTAAAGATCACTTCATTCCAAGGCTGCTGCCGCTGTGGGCAGGGATGTGCTTCCATAGAGCAGCTTGCTCAGAGCTTCATCCCAGAGCACCAACGGGCCTTGAACACTTGCAGCGATGGGGCAGCCCCAGCACCTCTGAGCAACCTGTGCCCTGTGCCAGCCAGGTGCCAGAGGAGGCAGGAAGCCCTTCCCACCTGGAGCAGAGGCTGCTGCAGCTTGGCGTAGCCTTGTGTCACTGAGCGTGTGAGACAGAAAGGCCCTTCCTTTCTGGAGGGGTAACAACACTCAAAGCTCTTTCTCGGGACAAGCAGAGCAATGGAAGGCCAAAGTAGCCTTCAGTTCTTCCAGCAGATTTGGGAACAACTTGAAGGAGGAGCAGAGCTGGCCTGGTGCCTGCCAGCTCTGCAGGCAGTGGGCATGGAGAAGCTGCAATTATCTGTCTTCTTGGCTGAGGCTTTAAAAATGAGGCTTTAAAAATGAGGCGCTTTTCTGTAGTTCCTTTTCAGGCATGACGTGCAAGTTGCCCCTAGAAGTCCAAAGGCAGCTGTTTTCTTAGCAGAAGGAAGTCAGGAGGAGGCAAAGCCACCAGCTAAGTCTGGATAAAAAACTTGGCTAACCTATTTTCCCGCCCTCCTCCAAACAGGCAATTGTGAAGCACTCAGCAGAGATCTGCCCGGGAAGAAAAGCAGAGGCAGTCTCTGAGAAGCGATGTGCGAGCTCTGGCGAGGACGGCTGCTGCTCCCCCTGGCCTTGGTGTGGGACCTCCTGAGCTGCCATTCCTGTGGTGGGAGTGTTTCTCCTCTCCTCCGGCCAAGCCAGAGACTGCCTAGGGAAGGAGCAGGTAAGGTTGAAGTACCGAGGTCTCCCAGGTAAGAAGTGACACGGCAAAAGGAAATGGCCTCAACTTGCAGCAGGGAAGGCTTAGATTGGATTGGAGGGAAAATTTCTTCACTGATAGGGTGGTCAGGCATAGGAGCAGGCTGCCCAGGGAATTCCCCTTGCCTGGAGACATGTCAAGGATGTCAAGATGTGGTGTTTAGGGACCTGATTTGGGGGGGCAGCAGCTGGGCTCGATGTCCTTAGAAGGCTTTTCCAACCGCAAGGATGCTACGGATCCTATGGTTCTGGAAAGCCTTGATCCCTCTGGCTCTAGCACAGCACCTGGATGCTGACAAAATGAGGCTGGTCATAGAGCCTGGAGGTCCCTGTGCCACAGGGAGAGGACAAGCCGGTGTCACCTGCAGGGAGGGTCTCGTCCCCAGAGAGCCGTCAGTGACTCCGTCCCTGCCCGGGGCTCTTGGTGCACCCTCGGGGCGGGGGGGGGGGGGAAAGACACCTGCCCTCAGGTGTCCCTCTGGGCACCTGGGAAGGGAACCTGGTCCATCCATGCGGCAGCTCCAGGGCTTGCAGGCTTTGGGGCTTTGCAGCTGTGTGCCTTGTGACAAGGTGGCAGGGACGTGACACTGCCTGGCAACGCTGCTGGCCTCGGATCCTTGCTGCTCTCATCCTTATCCCATATGGATTTAGCAGCAATCTTCTGTCTTTTCTTTAAAACTGTCCTTGGGAGAGTTCAAAGAGAGGGTCATTAGTTATTTCAAAGCCTACATCTTTTACCTATTGGCACTGAAGAGAAAAGACACAAACCTGCTTTGCATCCTTCTGCCTGGAAGTCATTGTGACACAAGGAAGGGAGGAAGGGGCTGGCCGGCGTCAGCCTCTGCTGAGCCTCAGCTCTTGCTGCTCCTGCTCACAGGGTAAAGCCAAAAGCTGTCGTGATCAAAAACGCAGGCCGCCCTTCTGACCTGAGTCACAGGGGCCGTTTCTTCTGAATGACTCAAGATGGGAAATCATTCTTGGAGCTTCAGAAGAAAAAGAACCCCAAAACCGTAGGTACATTTGTAAGAGTGTGTATGTACGTACATTTCCTTTGATGAAGAAGAAAATTTTAGAAATATCATGTCACGTCTGACTTCCTAGAGAAGATCCTGAACTCTGGGCTTCTGAAAGCAAATGGCTGTGCATTTATAGGAGCGTTTCCCTTCTTTTTATGTGCCTCCCCCAGTCATCTTCTACCCTTGCCCACGGCAAGGAGAGTGTGGTGATTTGGCTGCTCCGCTCTGCCGAGGGTGTTGCAGGCTGTGTAGCAGGGAAGTGAGGCTTCTGTGGCTGCTCATCAGACATTTTCCTACAGCGTTCTCCCTGCTATGGTAAAATGAGACTTGTGTTAGCGAGCAGTCAAGTAGAGCAGGTAACATTAGAAAAGAATTGTTTCTGAGCTGCTGTTCACTAGCACGTGTTTCCCCTTTCCGGCAGAATGCAGCCGCCCAAGAAGGGATTTTTTGTGGCTCAGCCAGATGTGCTCCTGCCTCCCACCGAGACACTGAGACGGAGCTGAGTTTGCATTCCAATATCTTGGAACAGAGGCTCATGGGAAGTTTTCTCAGCTATCCAAGGCACGGAGCCCTGGAGCCAAGTCAGCCTGAGCTGTTGCGTGCTTGCTGTGAGCCTTGAGGTGAGCGCGCATCATTGCGGGCTTGGGATCGATTGAAATGCACTGAGGAAACCAGCTCTGGGGAGGGAGGGAGGGAAATGCTCTCTTAACATGTGCCAATTCTTCTGTCAAACTCATCAGGGCAGGACAGCGTTCAGACTTGAAAGTGTAAGAAGATGTGGAGTGAGACAGAGAATCTGACAGGAGCACCGGACTCACAAGTGCACAAATTTTGCTTTTGGCTTGGATTTAAACTCAGAAGTTGTAAGGAATTTGGGAAGGAGAAGAAGAAAAAGAAGTTGTTGTTGTTACAGCCCTGGCAAAATCTTTGGTTCTAGCTAATAAAGGAAGTTAGTTGAAATAAAAAGAAAGAAAAAATGTGGTTTTTTTTCCTTGTTGGTGGTAGATGGTGTGTTGTTTTATTTCTTGGTCTTATTAACTCTGTGTAAATAGTTTTTTGAGTGAAGCTAACTTTCTGGACGGGTTGGTTTGTCTTTGAGGTAGAGTTAATTTCAAGAGATTTCTTTCCTAGACTTCTGATAGGTATTCCTGGGATTTTGGTTTTGTTTACTGTATGTATCAAGAGAGAGATTTGGTAGGGCCAGCTGGGCTGCTGGAGTTTTGGGTGTTAATTTATTAGATGGCTTTTGTTAAACACAGAATAATTATGTAAGTTAACAGCAAATTACCCAATTACCCAATTTATCTAGGTATGCTACCTAAACACAATGCTTTATGTCTTACCATTTTTCTGTCCTTCTGCTCCAAGTAGCTGTGTCAAAAAAGAAAGCGCTGTTATTTTTCTGAAGAGCTTTCTGTTACAACAAGGCCTTTACTCCCTTTGAATTTGAGTCAGAGGAGCCAAACAGCTGCAGCTGCTCTGAGGGCTTTTCTATTTGGTGGGATCAGCCCCCTCCCTTTTCCCAGGCATCATGGGAATGGGAGGCGGGCACCATCAGGGGTATATTAACCCCAGCCTTTGCTCAGGGGTTTCATTCCCTCTCTGGGATGTGCTGGGGTAAGAGCTTTCCTGTTATTTCAGTGAAGAGCCTCTTTCAGCTTAGCTTGCTTTCAGCAGGTGTTTCTGGGCATCTAAAGCAACAGAGGCTTTGAAGATCCTGTGAAGAAAATGGCATGGAATACAGGGAGTATTTAAGTTGGCGATTTTGGGTTTTGTGTTTAGGGGTGGTAAAGTGCATTTGCAATTTCTGGTTTTGTTCTTGTTTTGTGTTTTTATTATTTTTAGGAGGTGTACAGCTTCCAGAGATCCCAGGTTGTGTCAAGCACAGCACTTCTTTCAGCAGATTCATGATGTCACAGGAGGCATCTGCCCAGTGTCAAAAATGACGTTTGAGATTGAGGCTTCAGGTGAGTTGAGGGTTGTGACTGGGAGAGGGAGGGTGAGCAGGTATCCAGTTAGGAGTTATTGGGGGGCAGGGGGTTTGCAGGCAGCAGGGTGAGAAAGGGTGTTTATTTGAGGGCCCCCCCACACAGGGCTTTTCAGAAGCATAGCAGAGGCATTCCCATGTTTTCCTCACACGAGGTCATCCACTGCACTCACAGGAATGCCATTTAACTTTGCTTTTCTCTAACCCAGGTGCCACTGATATTAAAGGCCACACCCTTGGAATGAGGATGAAGGTGGAGCCTGAAGGAGCCAGGCACACTCAGGAGAGGGCAAGTAGCTGACTTGCTGGGATTTGGCCCACATAACTCTGAACTCATACATTGGTTTTGGTTTTCTTTATTGTAGCTGACCGAGAGAGGCTAACAGGCGATCACGGGGCCCTCTGAGGCAGACTCATTTCAGGTGCAACGTGGATTCACATCACTGATCATCCAAAAGATAAGTGGGGGGCCACTGCCTGGAGAAGGGAGAGTAGCGGGTTGGGAGTTCTTGGGACAGATTTAAAAATTAGCGGAGGGAAAAGCAATCTTCTCCAAGGGGCCTCTTAGGACAGCTAAAGGGAGAGACTCCACATTTGATGGCAGCATGCAGGCAGGCAGGGCAGAGCAGTTCCGGTCCACGTCATGTTGTCCGGTGTACCGTGTTACCTACTGTGTCTTTGGGGTCCCTTTTGCCTTTTCCCCTTGAGGCCCTCACTACAAGCATAATGTGTCGTGTTTAACGTCCCTCCGTTTGTCACGTTCTGTGTCACGGGTGTCTGCACATGTTTGTGCCAGAGCTGCTCTGCCCTGCCGCAGAGGCTGCTGCAATAGGACAAGGCTCAGGGACACGCAGTTTGTGGGGTGTCGCTGGACTCTAGATGATATTCCTAGATAGACAGAAGATGTTTGGAGCTGTGAAGATACCTTGCAGCCCTTTGACGTTTGTCCTCGCTTTCTTTCAGACGCAGAAGGATAAAATCCAGGGCAGAATCCATCCACCCATCCCGAGTGAGGAGGTTCCCCCGAGCAGGTCGGTCACCGTTTGTCTCTGCAGGGAGAGTGTAAAGTGTGACTCTGTTACAGCTCTGTTCTTTTTCTTTTTAGGAAGTAAAGCTGGACATCAGCAGTCAAGGTGAGGTGGGCAAGGTGAGCATTGAGTAGCGTAGAGAAGCAGTTGTTATTGCTCAAGTCTCACTTTCCGGTGCAACTCTAAGCATCCGTTCCTGTTTCTGCGCTTTAGGCAATCCACTCGGAGTACGCCGGGCCCCAGTCACCAACCGGCTGACGCGCCGGGCGTGCCGCTCTCCCGAGCCCTGCGGAAATATCACGGGACTCGGCAATGAAGCCTCTGCCTTTTCTATTTAAAGGTGTCACCAGGGTAGCCTTCAGCAATGGCCGAGGAGTTGCGGTGAGTCAGGGAAGTAGGGAGGAGGAGCGAGACTCCGCTCAGGTTTCAGCAGCGCCACATCCCCTCGTCTCCTCTTACCCCAGGCGTGCCCCACGACGATGGCGTCAGCCTCCGAGTGCGGCTGAAGCGTGCGGCCCCAGGAGCCGGGCATTCTTGGGAAAAGAGTGAGTGGCAGAATTGTTGGGTTTTGGCCAATGTGCTGCTGAGGTTATGCGTTGATATTTTGTTTTCTTTATTGGAGCAGACAAAGAAACAATAGGAAGTTGTTCAACAACAGTGCCAGCAGGAACTTCCCAGATGTCGAGGCAGCCTTCCTTTGCACCTGACACAGACTGGCATCCCCAGATGCCTGAGAGATAAGTAGAGGGCTACGACCCACAGAGGGGATGAAACCAGGGTGCAGGGCAGGGGCCCACCGGGAGGGGTTTTTGAGTCCGCTTTGGAGACGGGGTTGTCCACGAAGCGGCCCCTTAAACCAGGGGGGGAAATAAAAGCAAAGTCTCACTTTTGATCACAGTGCTGAGGTGCGCAGGGCAGAGCAGGTCCGGTGTGTACTGTGTCATTTGTCTATTGTGTGTTCTTTGTGGTTGGATATGTCATGTCCTTTACTTTAGGCCTTTGAGGAGCCTAGCAGAAACCCTGGCATCATTGTTAGCATCCATAATCTCTGCATTCCTTGGCCTGGTACCCAGGCCATTGAACTTTTGACTTGGGAGCTCATACAGGCATCAGAATTGCATCTCTCTTCAGAAGCATCCAGTCAGGTGGCTTTTCAGGTCTTTTTCTGAGCTGCACGGACAGCCGTGCTCCTCAGTGCTCCATTTCAATGGATTAGGCTTTGTAAGAATGCAAGGTTAGGGAGAGCATTCTGACTGTAGGATTCCTGGGTATCCATCTTTGCAGTTCTTGGAATAAATCATTCAGCCAGCATCTTCCTCCAGGGTTCTCTGAGCCTCATCAGTTTGCCATCTGTCTCACCTCGGTCATCTCCTTTTGCATTCTCTCAGTCCTTGCAGCCACTTTCCTTGCCAGGAGATTTCTGTCCCTGTTGTGTCCCCCCTGTCTGTCACGTCCTGTCCCGTGTCACGGGTGTCAGCACACACATTTGTGCCGGAGCTGCTCTGCCCTGCCGCATAGCCTGGTGCAGTAGGACAAGTCCCTGGGAGTTTGTAATGTGGGGTGTAGTTGGACTCTAGGTGGGATTTGTAGATGGACACAAGATGTCTGGAGCTCCTAATTTATCCTGCAACAGTTTGACTCTTGTCCTAACTTTTTTTTCAGATTCAGATGGATTAAACGTGTGCCAGAGGGCCCCATCCCGGGTGAGGGGTTTCCCCTGAGCAGGTGAGGCACCGTTTGTCTCTGCAGCAGAAGTGTATATGGTGACTGTGTTACTGCACTGTTCTTTGTCTTTCTTTTTAGGAAGTAAATCTGGATACCAGCAGTCAAGGTGAGCAGTGGAAAGAAGTAGTTGTTATTGCTCAGGTCTCAATTTCTGGTGCAGCTCTAAGCTTCCATTCTCGTTGGTGCACTTTAGGCAATCCACTCGGAGTATGCCAAGCCCCCGTCACCAACCGGCCGATGCACCGGGTTTCCTGCAAATGTGAGCCCTGTGGATGCATTACAGGACTTGGTGATGAAGCCCTGAACTTTTCTATTTAAAGGTGCCATCCGGGTGGCCTTTGGCATCTGCCAAGGAAGTTGCAGTGAGTCAGGGAAGTAGGGAGGAGGAGCGAGGGTCCCCTCAGGTTTCAGCCATGCCAAATCACCTCATCTCCTGTTAAACCAGGCGTCCCCTGTGACGACGGCCTCGGTCTCCGAGCGTGCCCGAAGCATGCAGCCCGAGCAGCTGAGCGTTCTTAGGAGCGCGGTGAGTAGCAGACTTGTGGGGTTTTGGCCGATGTGGTGCCACGATCAGGCATTGATGTTTGGTTTTCTTTAATACAGCTGTCTCAGAGACACCAGCCCAGTGCCAGCAGGACCTTCCCGGCTGACGAGGTGGCCTTTCTTTGCACCTGAGACCGGCATCCCCAGATGTCTGAGAGAGAAGTAGAGGTCTACCACCCCCAGGGGGGATGAAAGCAGGGTGCTGGTTTGGGAAATACTGGGACGGGTTTTTGAGTCCGCTTTGGAGGTGGGGGGGTGTCCATGAAGTGGCCTCTTAGGCCACATACAAGGAAAGTCTCACTTTTGATTACAGTGCTGAGGTGCGCAGGGCAGAGCAGCCCCCGTGTGTATCATGTCCCTTGTCTATTGTGTATTATGTGTTGTTTGGGAATCTCATGTCTTTCATCTTAGCCCTTTCAGGGGCCTGTCAGAAACCTTGGCATTGTTCTTATCGTCTGTGATCTCTGCATTTCTTGGCCTGGCACCCATGCCATACAACCTTTGCCTGGGGAGCTCAGACATATATCAGAATTGCATCTCTCTTTGGAAGCATCCAGTCAGATGTCTTTTCAGGTCTTGTTCTGAGCTGTACGGACAGCTATGCCCTGCCAGGATCCATTATGGCAGATTAGGACTTGAAAGAATGTGAGGACAGGTAGAGGTTTCTGAATGTAGGATTCTCGGGCATCCATCTTTGCAGTTCTTGGAATAAATAATTCAGTTAGCATCTTCTTCCTTCAGTGTTTTCTGAGCCACATCAGCTTGCCATCAGTCTCACCTCAGTCATCTCATTTGGCATGCTCTCGGTGCTTGCAGTAATCCTTTTTGCCAAGAGATTTCTGTCTGTGTTGTGTCTCCATTGTTTGTCGTGTCCTGTCTGTCCTGTGTCACGGGTGTCCACACATATTTGTGCCGGAGCTGCTCTGCCCTGCTGCATAGCCTGGTGTAATAGGAGAAGCCCTGGGGAGTTGAAATTTGTAATGTGGGCTGTACTTGGACTCTAGATGCTGTTCCTAGATTGATATAAGGTGTTTGCAGCTTTTGAGTCATCCTGCAGGTGTTTGACATATGTTCTAAGTCTCTTGCAGGTGCAGATGCATTGCATCCATGGCAGAGCACCCCATCCTGGGTGAGGGGGTTCCCCTGAGCAGGTCCGTCACCATTTGTCTGTGCAGGGAGAGTGTCAAGTGTGGCCCTGTTACAGTGCTGTTCTTTGTCTTTATTTTTAGGAAGTATAGCTGGATCTCAGCAGTCAAGTTCAAGAGGGTAAGGTGAGCAGTGAGCAGTAGCCTTTCTTGTTGCTGAGGTCTCAATTCCTGGGGCAAGTCTAAGTCTCCATTCTCGTTTTTGTGCCTTAGGCCATCTGCTCGGTGCATGCCAAGCTCCCATCCCCAACGGGCCGACGGAGCCTGTTTTCCGCTCTCGCGAGCCCTGCGTTCCGGGCAGCCATCAGGAACCGCCGAGGAGTTGCGGTGTGTCAGGGAAGTAGGGAGGAGGGGCGAGGGTCCACTCAGGTTTCAGCAATGCCACGTCACCTCCTGTCCTCTTAACCCAGGCGTACCCCACGATGATGGCATCGGCCTCCAAGTGCAGCCGGAGCGTGCGACCCGAAGATCCAGGCCTTCTTAGGAGAAGGGTGAGTAGCAGACTTGTGGGGTTTTGGCCAATGTGGTGCCACGATCTGGCATTGATGTTTGGTTTCCTTTGATATAGCTGTCTAAGAGACAACGGCCCGGTGCCAGCAGGAACTTCCCAGCTGGCGAGGCGGCCTTCCTTCGCACCTGACATGGACTGGCATCTCCATATGTACAAGAGATAAGTCGAGGGCTACGACCCACAGAGGGGATGAAAGCGGGGTGCTGGGTCGGGGCTCCTGCGGGGAGGGGGGTTGAGTTGTCTCTGGAGATGAGGGTAGCCAAGATGTGGGTCCTTAGGCCCCATAAAAGGAAAGTCTCACTTTTGATCACAGTGCTGAGGTGCGCAGGGCAGAGCAGGCCCGGTGTGTATCGTGTCCCTTGTCTTTTGTGTATTATGTGATATTTGGGTATCTCATGTCTTTTTTCTTAGCCCTGTGAAGGGCCTGTCAGAAACCTTGGCACCATTCTTAGAATCTGTGATCTCAGTGTTCCTCAGCCTGCAGCCATGACATGCAAGCCTTTGACTGGCAGCCATGCCATGGTACCTCAGGAGCTCCAACGTGCATCAGAATTGCATCTCTCTTTAGAAGCATCCAGTCAGGTGACTTTTCAGGTCTTTTTCTGAGCTGCACGGACAGCTGTGCTCCTCAGTGCTCCATTTCAATGGATTAGGCTTTGTAAGAATGCAAGGTTAGGGAGGAGAATTCTGACTGTGGGATTCCTGGGTATCCATCTTTGCAGTTCTTGGAATAAATCATTCAGCCAGCATCTTCCTCCAGGGTTCTCTGAGCCTCATCAGTTTGCCATCTGTCTCACCTCGGTCATCTCCTTTTGCATTCTCTCAGTCCTTGCAGCCACTTTCCTTGCCAGGAGATTTCTGTCCCTGTTGTGTCCCCCCTGTCTGTCACGTCCTGTCCCGTGTCACGGGTGTCAGCACACACATTTGTGCCGGAGCTGCTCTGCCCTGCCGCATAGCCTTGTGCAGTAGGACAAGTCCCTGGGAGTTTGTAATGTGGGGTGTAGTTGGACTCTAGGTGGGATTTGTAGATGGACACAAGATGTCTGGAGCTCCTAATTTATCCTGCAACAGTTTGAGTTTTGTCCTAACTTTTTTTTCAGATTCAGATGGATTAAACGTGTGCCAGAGGGCCCCATCCCGGGTGAGGGGTTTCCCCTGAGCAGGTGAGGCACCGTTTGTCTCTGCAGCAGAAGTGTAAATGGTAACTCTGTTACAGCACTGTTCTTTGTCTTTCCTTTTAGGAAGTCAAGGCCGAGTGGGCAAGGTGAGCATTGAGTAGTGTACAGAAGCAGCTGTTATTGCTGAAGTCTCACTATCTGGTGCAGCTCTAAGCATCTCTTCTTTTTTTTTATTTTTTTATTTTAGGTGGTCCTCTTGCCATCTATCCTGGCTGAGCATGCCATGCCACGTGGGTGCAAGCTTAAGGTATCGGTGTGGCATACTTGTCAGGATAGGGAGGTTGTGTTTTCACAGTATCTCAGCTTGGTTTTCTGCTTTGTGTCCTTGCAGGTGCTTTTGCTGCCCTAGGCATGTCAAGGAACGGAGGAGGGCAGGTGAGTCGGTGTTTAGGCAGGCTGACTCATAGGTGAGCATTACACAGCAGCATGCTAAGTGTGTAGCTTTTCTTTTTGCAGGTATCTTCTGGGCAGCCTCCGGAGTCAAATGAAGATTTGAGGTGAGCTGGGGCAGTGGTGTGGAGGAGTCCCGGGGATTACTGTTTTTGAGGGCAATAGTCACCTTTTCTGTTTTGTCTTAGGTACCTTGAGGAGGTTTGTAGCCAAAGCTTGGAAACGGCAGCACCGAAGCACGCGTGGAGAACATCTCAGCGTCCACATCCAACCACCGATGGATTTTATCCTCTCATCTTCCAAAAGCTAAGTGTCGGGGCCAGTGGCTGGGAGAAGGGGAAAAACCTTTACTATCACAGAGGGCAATTTGATGTCAGCTTAGCGTAGAGGTCTGTAGTGGGACCGGCTCTCTGGAAGAAAAGGGAGAGGGTTTCTCCTCAGCCTGACCAGAGCCTTTGACGGGCAGGGCAGTTCCGACCCATCTCAGGATTCTCATGAACTTTGCGTTGTCCGCCTTCCTCGGCCCGACGCTGTCACGGATCTTTCCCCTGAGGAGCTCGCCTTCAGGTCCGGAGCTATCGCCACGGTCACCTGGCCGTCGGCTTCCTTCTCTAGGCTCGCCGAGCCTCTCGAGCATCCTCTTAACTGCTGTGGCAGTAACTTCTTTTAACAAGTTACATTTCATCATCACGTTCTATCGTCATAGGGCTTTCTTTCCTTTGGCATCATCAGCCTCTGGCTCATCTTGCAGTAGGAATCTTGGGTCCCTAAGGGGAAAGTGCCAGGCAGTGGCCACTTGTCTCTGTGTTATGTCACCTGTGTCTATGTTATGTTGTCCGTGTCTGTGTTATGTAGTCTGTGTCCATTGTCTTCCGTGTCATAGGCCTTTGTTACGTCCCGATGCTTTATCGGCACTATTCTGTGCCATATAGGCCGTATTTTACTCACGTTCCTTCCCGGATATCGCTTATTCTGGCATCTTTACATTTTTACTCTTTGAGACTGGAATGTCTCCAACAGACAAGATGTTCTCATCCATCTTCCTTTTCACTACCAGCTTTGGTAGTGCCTTTTTTTCCACGCCATTCTCTTGGACTTTCTGAGGGAGCGTCTTACACCCTCCTCAGGTGACTGCAGCAGTTCTATAGGTTCCATCTTCTCAAAGGGCATAGGGCTCAAGAATTAATCTTTCAGAGAATTATCTGAAGTCCTGGCTTACATTGTATGTGCCTATGTTGGCTTATATTGTATGTACCTGTATTGTGTGTACCTATGCTGGCTTATACTGTATGTACTTACATTGTATGTGCCTATGTTGGCTTATATTGTATGTACCTGTATTGTGTGTACCTGTGCTGGCTTATACTGTATGTACTTACATTGTATGTGCCTATGTTGGCTTATATTGTATGTACCTGTATTGTGTGTACCTATGCTGGCTTATACTGTATGTACTTACACTGTACCATTTATGGTCGGAGCTGCCCTGCCCTGGCATGTAGTCACAGTTAGGTAGAAGAGTTATAAAAACTTTAGTATTCATCTGTCTTTTATGGGATTTTGGGTGGAAAATTTATTGGTCCAGAGCGGGGACAAGTCCTAGCTGTCAGATAGCCACTCATTGACCACTTCCTGTCATCTCACAGGTGGTCCCCGAGGCTACCGATTTCCCCACAATCTACCATCTGACGTCAAGGAGCAGCAGCCAGAAGACGTGTCGAAGCACATTCTTCAGTGTCTCAAGTAAGGGCCGCAGTGAGAAGATAAGTGGGAAGAAAGTGTGAGCGTGTGTGAGAGCACATGACTGTGTCTGTCTGTCTGCTCGTCTCTGCATGTGCAAGCGCATGCTGACTGGATTTAGGGAAGGGAGGAAGGGGCTGGCTGGGGTCAGCCTCTGCTGAGCCTCAGCTCTGGCTGCTCCTGCTCATAGGGTAAAGCCAAAAGCTGTCATGATCAAAAATGCAGGCTGCCCTTCTGTCCTGAGTCACAGGGGCCGTTTCTTCTGAATGACTCAAGATGGGAAATCATTCTTGGAGCTTCAGAAGAAAAGAACCCCAAAACCGTAGGTACATTTGTAAGAGTGTGTATGTACGTACATTGCCTTTGATGAAGAAGAAAATTTTAGAAATATCATGTCACGTCTGACTTCCTAGAGAAGATCCTGAACTCTGGGCTTCTGAAAGCAAATGGCTGTGCATTTATAGGAGCGTTTCCCTTCTTTTTATATGCCTCCCCCAGTAATCTTCTACCCTTGCCCACGGCAAGGAGAGTGTGGTGATTTGGCTGCTCCGCTCTGCCGAGGGTGTTGCAGGCTGTGTAGCAGGGAGTGAGGCCTTTGTGGCTGCTCATCAGACATTTTCCTACAGCGTTCTCCCTGCAATGGTAAAATGAGACTTGTGTTAGCGAGCAGTCAAGTAGAGCAGGTAACATTAGAAAAGAATTGTTTCTGAGCTGCTGTTCACTAGCACGTGTTTCCCCTTTCTGGCAGAGTGCAGCCGCCCAAGAAGGGATTTTTTGTGGCTCAGCCAGATGTGCTCCTGCCTCCCACCGAGACGCTTAGACGGAGGTGAGTTTGCATTCCAATGTCTTGGAACAGAGGTTCATGGGAAGTTTTCTCAGCTATCCAAGGAACGGAGCCCTGGGGCCAAGTCAGCCTGAGCTGTTGCGTGCTTGCTGTGAGCCTTGAGGTGAGCGCGCATCATTGCGGGCTTGGGATCCATTGAAATGCACTGAGGAAACCAGCTCTGGGGAGGGAGGGAGGGAAATGCTCTCTTAACATGTGCCAATTCTTCTGTCAAACTCATCAGGGCAGGACAGCGTTCAGACTGAAAGTGTAAGAAGATGTGGAGTGAGACAGAGAATCTGACAGGAGCACTGGACTCACAAGTGCACGAATTTTGCTTTTGGCTTGGATTTAAACTCAGAAGTTGTAAGGAATTTGGGAAGGAGAAGGGAAATTTCAGAAGGAGAAGAAGAAAAAGAAGTTGTTGTTGTTACAGCCCTGGCAAAATCTTTGGTTCTAGCTAATAAAGGAAGTTAGTTGAAATAAAAAGAAAGAAAAAAACGTGGTTTTTTTTCCTTCACTGTTGTATTTGTTGGTGGTAGATGGTGTGTTGTTTTATTTCTTGGTCTTATTAACTCTGTGTAAATAGTTTTTTGAGTGAAGCTAACTTTCTGGATGGGTTGGTTTGTCTTTGAGGTAGAGTTAATTTCAAGAGATTTCTTTCCTAGACTTCTGATAGGTATTCCTGGGATTTTGGTTTTGTTTACTGTATGTATCAAGAGAGAGATTTGGTAGGGCCAGCTGGGCTGCTGGAGTTTTGGGTGTTAATTTATTAGATGGCTTTTGTTCAATGCAGTTTTGAATTGGTGAAAGGGTTTTTAATGTAGTGGTTTTAAGGCGGTTTTTAAGAATTGATTGTATTGTTTCACGTTGTTTGTAGTTGGTGTATGATAAGGGATATGGTGGAACTTCTTGAATGTTCTGGTTTTAGCGTTCCTAAGTTCCGATTTCTTTCTGCTTTGCTGTTTTGTTTCTGGTTTTCTTTTGGGGGACAGGGGCATTTGTATACGGTGGGTTTCTAGTGGCAATATGTCTTTCAATTTGGGTAGTGATATTTTTTAGTATTTTAATAGTTTTGATTTTTTTTATTTTCATGCTTTTAATGAGTTGTTTTAAAATTTTGAAGATAACCTTTCTAGATGATTGGTTATTATTTGTGAGTTAGCCTCAAGGTAGAGCTTTGGGGGCTTTTTTTAGTAATGTTTAGGGTCAGTTGTAGGGTTTTGAGTTTAGTGAGTTGGTTGGATTTAATTTTTCATGGGTGTTTGTTTTTACTAGCAGTTCTGTCATTTTCAATGTGTATCTGAGTTTTTTGGGGTTTTGAGCCATTGGTTTAGGAGGAAGTTTATGATGAGAATGTACGGAGCTTTTGGGCTAGTTATAGTGGGATTTCAAATTTCTTTACAGTTCGGTTGATTTGAGATTTTCTTAGGGTTAAATGTTGTGGGGTCTTTGTTCTGTTAGTCCTAGAAATAGGTTTGGTTTGGATACGCTGCGATGGGATGAGCGTGGGCTGCGTACCGGTGCTGCCGAAGGTGCGGTATTTGTGTGGTTCTGATGCGTTGGGTTAATGAATTGATACGGTCTAATATATAGATTAATTAAAGTAGAAATAAATATCAATATAAAAACAAATATAAAATGATAGTGGTAAACATAAATATAGAAAACAAATAGATAAACACATAAAACTATACTATATAGTATATTATTGTAACAGATGATAATATATAGAAATGATAGTCTATTATATATATATATACAAAGATATATAAAGATAGGTTGTAAATACAAAAATATTTAGATAGAGTTAAAAGAAATTGGGGATTTTTTTGTTTTTATTAGGTTTTAGGCTGGGGTTTTTTTTTCTAAATAGAAATAATATAAAAATAAAAATCCAGATATCCAAATATATAACACGTATACCGATATCTCTAAATATTTAATATAAAGAAATAGAAGTAAAAGAATATATAGGATATAAAAATAATATATCTATTATTATATTAAAAGGTATTCTCTCTAGTATGTATAATACCTACAAATATAATAAATAAAAAATTATAAATGTAAATGTGAATAGAATGATGAAAAATAAAATTATTTTTAGAGTTTTAAATATGGTTTAGATAAAGGGGTGTCTTTGGTTCTTGTTTGGTTAGAGGCAGGGGTTTTATTTGAAATAATAGAAATATTATAGAAATGTGAATCTTAAGATAGAAATCTATCATAAGTATAGAAAGAGAAATGACGAAACTATGGATATAAATTGAAATCTAAATCTACGTCAGTAATGTGAAGGGTTGTATAGAATAGAAGTGACCTTATGTGGCAATATAAATGATAAATGGGAATAGAAATATAAAAATATGTAAATATAGTTGGAAAGAAAGGGAATTTTTTGGCTTTTATTTTAGTAGAGGCAGGGGTTTTATTTTAAATAATACAAGTGTTCCAGAAGTGAAAATCTGAATGCAGAAATAGATAATCAATGAATCAAAATACGTATAAAAATATAGAAATAAGTCCTCGGAATAGATGTAATATAGATTATCAATTTATTTATAAATTGACATTGATAAAGATAAATGTATCAGTAAGCAATACACATTATAAATATAAATGTGAATATAAATAGGAAAGCATAGGGGTAAAATCTATTTAAATATTGTCTAAAAGAAAGGGTTGGGGTTTTTTGGGTTCTTCTTGGGTTAGAGGCAGGGTTTTTATTTTAAATAATATGAATATAGATATTACTCTTACCTGTTTCTAAATATTGAGATAGATAATCAAGATCTAAATATAAAACCTAAGTAAATATAAATAATAGGAAGGGATGTAATATAGAATACAAATAACAGTATACATTGATATACATTTTAAATGTAAATGTGAATATGAACCTGAAAAATACAATTTTAAAGAAGATTGAAATAGAGTTGAAAAGAAAGGGGTTCTTTTTGGCTTGAATTTGGGTAGAGGCAGGGGTTTTATTTTAAATAATGTAAGCGTTACAGAAGTAAAAATCTTAACACACAAATATAGATTAAATATAGAAAGATATGAATAAAAAGATGTAAATAAATAGAAGAAATAGGAACAGATGTAAAATAGAATATGAACTTATAAAAAAATCGGGAATTATAAATGTAAAAAAAAAACATTATACATCAATATACATTTGAAATATAAATGTGGATATAAATATGAAAAAAATTATTTTTTTTACAAATTTAAATACAGTCGAAATTAAAGGGGTTCTTTTTGGCTTTTATCCGGGTAGAGGCAGGGGAATTATTTTAAATAATGTAAGCGTTACAGAAGCAAAAATCCTAACAAATATATAATTACTATGTACAAATATAGAAAATATGTATAAAAATAGAGAAATAAATTTAAGTACTAGGGAGAGATGTAATATAGAATATACATTTATTTACAAATAGGAATGTATAAATATACATCAATATACATTGTAAATAGAAAGGTGAATATTAATATCAAGAAATATTTTAAAAAATATTTAAATATTTTTAAAAGAAATTGTTGGGTTTGGGTTTGGTTTTTTTTATCCTATTAGGTTAGAGGCAGGAGTTTTTTCTTTTCTTCCTCCTGGTTGTTTTGGGGCATTTATTTCAGAGCAGTTTTTGGGGGGGATCGCCCCTGTTCTTTTTTGCCGCCTTGGCTGACCGTAGCCCCAAGGCGCGCGGCGCCCCCGGCTGGGGTGGGCGGCAGTGCTGCCGCCTTGTGGGCAGAGCGCGGTACTGCAGGCCTTGAGAGGCCGCCCTCTTGGGAGTGGCGCGTGGTGGACTTTGTTTGACCTTCTCAAAGTGGAGGTCAAAAGGGCGGAAAGTGGAGGACCCCGGTGTGTGTATCCGGACTGCCTGCACGGAACACCGACGCCGGCGCGGCCTCGACGAGATTTTCTGTGGCGTTTCAATTGCGATGATGGCATTCCGGTTCGCCTGCAGGGTTCGGCATCGCAGGAAATTGTTTCTGGGGCTTGTGGTTTCTGTCGGCATTTTGATCAGGCAGCTGGCAAAACGGCTACGCCTTGGGGTCTTTCCAAGGGGCGCTGGGGGCGTGGCCGGGGCGGGGCGCCGGGTCGAAGAGGTGACGTCATTAGGCGGCACTCTGCCTGCAGTGCGCCGGTGCAGACGGCAGGGGGCGCTGAACAAAGTATAAAGTATAGACTATTTATAGGAAGAACTAAAAGCTCTATGTCATGTGCAGCTGTAGAAAATTTCAGGCTCCCAGGGAGGAAATTGTTTTACTAAAATTATTATAGGTTTAGGGTTTTTCTTACTCCCAGGCAGCCTGAACCTTTCTACTGCTTTTTTTATTCTAAAGCTAGAATTCAAAGCCAAGATTAGAAATACAGGGAAAGAAAGAAAAGGGGAAAGACGAGGCAAGGCAAGGTAAGGAAAGGAAGAAAAAAAAAGAAGGAAAAGAAAGGAAGAAAGAAAAGTGAAAAAGGAAAAGGGTGAGAGTGAAAAAGGAAGAGTGAGAGTGGAAAAGGGGGTGAAAAACAGAGTGAAAAAGAGAAAAAAGAGTAGGAATGGAAAAGAAAGGACATTCAGGAGGGGCAGTGCTGCCTAAGGTGCTTCCGCGCCCAGGAGCGAAGGAGCCATTTGATCCCCTGGCGGGACCGCAGCTCCCGGTGGCGGAGAACGGAGCGGTGGCTGTCAGTCCGAGACTACAACTCCCGGCAGGCCCTGCGGCCGTAAAGCGCGGCGTCTGACGCAACGGCCGACGCGCCATATGAATGGCTGGCGGGCCGAGGCGGCCGCGCGCCGGGGGAGCGGGCTGGGCGCGGGGAGCTCCCGGCGCCTGTCCCGCGCGGGACGGAGCCGCGGCAGCGACGCTGGAGGGGCGAAGCCTCCGGCCGGCCGCCCGCACGGAGCCGAGCGGCGCGGAAGGGGCGTCCGCCCGGTGCCTCGACCTCGCTCAGCGATCCCGGTGGCGAGGGCTCAGCTCGGGCGGGGCGCGCTGCCGCCCGCCGATGGCGGAGCGCCAGGCGGTGCTTTGCTGCCGCGGGCCGGGAGCTGCAGGAGCCGCCCCGGGCGAGCGGCGCCGGGCGCTGCCGCGGTCACTGTGCGGCGGCTGCCCTCGGGCTGGCGGAGGCGCGGGAGCCGCCGAGCTGCAGCCGTCTCCCTCGGGCCGCTGCCGCTGCTGCGGGCGGGGGCGGACGAGCGGCTGCGGAGGCGGCTCCGCGGCGTGCTCAGCCTTGCGAGCAGAGAGCGCTCGACATCGCTGGAATGACACGGCTGCTGAGTGCCTTAGTGCTCGTGGCTCTTTCTTCCACGCAAACAGATGAAGCGGCATCGCTGAGCAGTAAAACACAGCGATGGCCCGGAGAATGGCGAGCGCAAGGAGCGCCGGGCAGGATCCTTCTGATGGCACAGGTGCGATCTGCAAACTCAGCCCCTTGTGCCCCTACCCTCCCGACCCCCAGGGGAAATGCTCTCCAGCCTCGAGCTGCTGAGAGACAAAACGTGTGATTTGACACTAGGGTCCGGAAAAGGTTTCCGTTTAGATTACAAATGCCTCAATTGTTCTTGGTTACATCCTAGGATCGGTTTTAGGCAGTGACTTTCTACCGCTTGTCGGATTTTCTTGTGCAATGGTAAGAAAATAGGCAGGTCCGATACTGGTTTCGCTTTTTTTCTACTTCATGTTCCACGTGATGCTTTTATCCAAGCAATTGTTTTAAAGTTCTACTGTAGGCATTTATGGTTCACTTTTTTTTTCTTTGCAGCACCCATGATTTTTTTTTTCTCTAAATCGGCAGTAAATATAGCTGAGTAAAATTACCTTGGTTTTCTTCCTTCTTAAATGTTTTTATTGATAATCCTATTTGAATATTCAGAAAAAGAGGGTATGTCCTGTAATATATCCTAGCTTTTCTTGTTTACAGGGTACTCAGAAAATATTTTTCCCTTAGAGTCCCACTGAAACATTCTCAGTGCAATCTCCGTTATGTGTTTATAAATAAGCCATCAGTTTAGATATTTGCCTGTGTACCTTTTCCTGTAATTTAGAGCTTGCGTTCTGTGGTTTTTATGATAAATCTATCAAACTTGTGAAACTGTTTTGCAAGTCTTAATCGTTGACGGCAGCAAGAAGTGGTTTTAAAGCCTGTTCTTGACCAGACAAAGGGAAAAAGTGTGAATTTGATGCTGAACTTGTCATTTCTCATTTGACTTGCCTTGAATTATTTAGGAAGAGAGAAAACTAGAAAAAGAGAGAAATAGAATTGGTTCTTGAGCCCTCCTAAAATGCTCCCCTTGATTCTGTGTGGAGCCAAAGTGAAGGGCGATGGAACAGAGCCCTGTGCTTCAGAAGGAAATCAATTTCAACCTGATCTCCACCCTGAGTCTCCCTAATTTCTGTTTTTAAAATGCAAACTAAATTTAGGAAGTGTTGGATGTTAGTATTTTGGGGAAGAAATGGCAGTTGCACAAACCGTTCCATTTCCCAGAGGCTCTGGGAACGATTCATTTTGTAAGCGCTGTAACTGCAATCGGTTGGTGGTTCGGGGTTGAAATGTGCACTTGCCCTCCTATAAAGCACTCGTTCATTTGCATTTCAGTGCTAGGAGTCTTGATAAATTGGAGAAGAGCCCAAGAGACATTTTTCATCCTGAGATACAAAAGGTAGGAAGTGACTTTTTTTTGTTTGGTTCTTTTTCTTTATGGTTTCCTGGAAATAGAAGTAATTAAGTATAGATACTACTGGTTTGTTTCTTCCGGTAGCTAATACTAATAATCTAATACTACTTAAACTGTCTTTATCTATTGAACTGGCCATTTCAATTCCAAACTTCTAAACACAAATAAAACCATCATCCTTGTAGAATCTTTAATAGGAGGGGGCTAAAGATGCTGTTTTTGTTGACAGGATTTATTGGTTCTTGAAGGGCAAGAGGTGAGTACAAGCCTAACTACTTCTAGCTCACAGACCCGTCTGGTGAATACAGCTTTGTATTTTGATGGGCTTTTGATGACTTCTAAATCAATTGCTCATTACAGTAAAAATAAGTAATGTTTTTTTGAACCTGACAGCAAAAATAACTTGAAGCACCAACTTAATAATAACAGATCACCAATCTAAGTTAATGATTTTATGCTATACTACCAAAGTTTAAAGGTAAATTATTGTGTAGTAGGAGATGGTATAAAATGTATGTTCTAATGTGTAGGATGTAGGCAAAGATTAGAGGAAACAAATTTTTATGTCTTCTGTTTGGCTGCTTACCAAATAATATTTGGTTTTATTTTCCAGGGATCGGTGAATTTTAAATTTGGAGTCCTCTATGCTAAGGATTGTCAGCTTACAGGTGATGAAATGTTCAGTAATGGTGACTTTTCCACCTTCTCCTTAATTGTTTTGCTCATCTGAAAAAAAAAAAAAAAGGCAAGTTAAAAAAAAAAAAAAAGGTATGTTTATTATTTGTTACCCTGTTCTGTCCGTTTCCTCAGTATTTGCTGGAGCTCTGCTTACCCAAGCTTTGGGTAAAACAAGCTTTGGGTTCCTTCTGTCCCACTGGGTGTTGCCCAGTTTGGTTGCATCTGGTGAAATTCACCCTGAGCCCTTACAGAACCAGCTCAAACCACGTGAGAGCCATTCGCAGCTCTCTCAGGACACCCGGAGGAGGATGGGTGACGTTTCTGAGCATCTGGCAAGTGTACTTCTATCAAAACTCGGCCTGTGAAATTTCTGGGGAAAACCCTTCTGTATCCTGAAGGGTTCCTCAAACTCTGTTGAAGATCCAGTTAGCAGTTGCTCACCTGGATGGTTCCAGCTCCTCAAGTTAACACTTGTACTCTTGCCCTGTAGTTTAGATCTATTGTAGTTTTGGTATTTTGCAAGATTTGACATCTTTGGAAAATAACGTGCATTTCACTCTTTGGAACCTCTCGGATCATTCTTTCGTGCAGCACCACCTAATGGGACACATGGCTGCTGTGCTGAAGGGCTTGGTTACTAGAATTGTAAATCCCGGAGAGTTTGTAAGTCTTCTGTCCCCAGGGAGGTATCATGCTTTGTTCACTGTTGCTCTGTTTGTCAGGTGCTGCTTCTCATCGGAAGTATTAACTTCAAACTGCCCTGTTCTTTTATTAACTTTTTTTCCTGGTTCTCTCTGTAGGGCAGGGAAAGACTCTCGTATCCTGGTCGTCAGACTCAGCGCTGCCCGAGAAGATAGAGAGACTGTAAAAATCATAAGAAGCAACTAGGACTGCAGAGGAAACAAACTGGAGAGAACAAAAGGTGATATTGTTATCCTTACCCTGGATTAGAAACATCCACTGTGCTTTGATGCCGGTGCCTGTCAGGGGCTCGTTAGGTCTTTTTAGGCAGGTGTAGGTGTTCACTTGTAGGTTTTCTGTCTGGACGAGTCAATTCAAACTTTGCTAAGCTTATATTGGAAAATTACTCTCTAGTTCAGTCCAGCATGACATTTTTGAATGTTGTAAAAAAACCATGTTACTTGGAAATCGCTAATGATGAGAAGCTTTAGGGAAAAATAAGATTTTGGGGTCGGGAGATATGCGAAGAATTTAGTGGGGACGTTAGACTGGTGTAAAGCCCGCTTTAAGCTGGACTGACACACTTGCAGATCCCCTATCAAACAGTAGTGCTTAGATTAGCCTGGTTGTTGCCCATTGTTTCTGTAGAAATAAATGTTTCCTGGTCTTCAGAAGTAAGCTGCTTTGAAAACCTGGAAGTTGCAGTACAGTGACAATCCACGTGCTTCGGATTCAAAGGAGATTTCAGAAGGGTGATAGGCTTTTGTCTTTTCCTACAAGTCCATGTAATCCTATGGAGGAGTTTTTAATTGCGTGTTGCCGAGTCATCCATCAGAGCCCTGTTGTACCGATCATCATGCAAATACAAAAGAAAAAAATCAGAGCCTGTCCCAGCCACTTAGAGCCTAGACCATTATTTCCTCAGGCTGCCCTCTGTGTGCCATTAATACTCACCATGGGAGTGAGCTGAGGATTGTTGCAGCTGTTGGGAGCAAACTACTTCTCATCACACAGAAATAGAATTGGGATGACGCCTTGGCCAGCGCCTCTCTGCTCTCGTCTCCTGAATCTCCAGCAGAGGAGTTCCGGTCCATCCAGGTGTGCGTAACCCAGTTCCCGATGGTCTGAACGCGCTGAGCAGCGCTCAGCTGATGTGGGGGGTTCAGGGAAGGCAGAGTGTGTATTATCATCTTCCTGAACCTACAGACAAATCCAAGTGAGAAGCCATAGGGTGGCAATCAGTCGCATACATGCTAAATAAAACTTGCAGATTTTTTTAAGGATTGTTTCTGCTTGTTCTTTGTTGTGCTTCTGTGCTTAGAAAGCGTCCCTTAAAAATGAGTTCAGTTCATCACTTGAAACTTTGTTTGCAGACCCTCACTGAGCAGAATTTGTTGCAGACTGGGTGCACGCTGGGCTGACCTCCTGGGAGTGTGAGGAGCTGGTGCGTGCTACTTTGTGCTTTAGGACACTCTGAGGGATTTATTCCTTTTGGGATCCATGATGAGAATTCCCAAGAGAGGTAGTAATAAGGTATGAGATTGGAAAAAAGCCTGTGTCCTTGGAATGTTATTGTTGTCGTCAAAAGTTAATTTTTCCTTCTTTCTTAGCCAGTAGTCAGCTTTTTGCTTTATTTTTTGTGGTATCAGTATTTGATTGTTTAAAAAATTGCTTCAAAATAACTGCAGTGGCTGGCCACCAGGACCTTGTTCAGATTTGCCTATTTGCTTGTAGCTAAAACGTTTCCATATTGTTTATCATTCTGTTTAAGAAACTGCTGCCCAGTCAACTAAGAACTGAACATCTATCTGTTTAGGACATGGGGAGAGGATTTAGGTCATGTCTATGTTTCCAGAAAAAAGTTCCAGTGTAGTTTCTAACTAGAGGAAAAGGGGGGGGTGAAGACTCGGGGCTCTGATGCCGTTGGGGGCACCCCGAGGTGCCCAGGAGAGGGAGCCCCACTGCGGTGCAGGAGCAGGTATGTTATCACGTACTGGAGAGCAAATTATAAATAGAAATATGAAAATTACAAATATAAAAATATTTTTTAAATAGTTAAAGAAAGCGTGTTTTTTAACTTGTCAATAGGCAGGGTTTTGATGATAAAATTATAAATACAAAGAATACGAAGGTAGAAATCTAAGTCTAGAAATATATCATAAATACATACAGATAAAGTTTACAAATATAAGAAAAATTTAGTTGCAGCAGTAGATATGATACATAATATAAATAATAATTTAAATACATGTCTAGAATTTTATAGATATTATATATAATTATTAATAGATTGCATCAAAAGAAACTATAAATATAAATGTGAGTATAACTATACAAAGTATAAAAATATTTCGATATCATTTAAAAGAAGGTGTATTTATTTGGTTAGAGATGGGGTTTTTATTTGGATTAATAGAAGTATTCTAGAAATATAAATCTAACTATAGAAAGATACAATCAATAGAGAAAGATATTTTTAAAAACACAACCGAACGCCGCCGCCTTCGGGGGAATCGCACGAGCTCGGCCGAAGCAAGGCGAGAGCGGCCGAACCTGACGGCCTCGAGCGAACCGAGGCGAGGCTTCCGAGGTTGCCTGAAGCGAAGCGAGCCGAGCTCAGGCGAAGCTAGCCTGCTGCTCTCGTGCGCGCTGCTTAGCGCCAGTGCGCTCCCAGCCTAATGAGCTCCTGCCCGAGCCCGCGCTCCCGGTCGCGTCCGCGCCATGGCCGGGCCGCCCGTGGGACGCGGCAGCGGGAGAGCCCCGAGCCGGGCGAGCTGAACGGGAGGCGGCGGCGCTTGCCCGCCGTCAGGGAGCCGAGGCGAGGCGAGCGGAGCCGAGGCGCGCCGAAGGCACAGAGCGGCTGGGAGTTGGGCCGAAGCGAGGCGAGCTGGGCCGAAGAGGCGAATGCAGGCGCCAAGAGCCGAGTTGAGGCGCCAAGAGCCGAGTTGAGGCGACAATAGCCGACTCGAGCCGAGTGTCTCCGGAGCGAGCCGAGCTCCGCCGAGCGCCGCAGCATCCCGGGCAGGGCGAGGCGCCGGGCCGGGCTCGGGGTGCAGCCGGGGCTCTTGGAGGTTTCCCCGCCTGTCCCTCTCTCTAGCCCTCCTTCCTTCTCCCCGTATTCGCCTTCTCTCGCTCCCTTTCCCCCATTCCCTCTCCCCCCACAAACCTGGCTCCTTCCTGTCCTGTCCCTAGCCCGCTACTGCCTTCTGTTCCCCCTCTCTCCCTCCTCTGCCCAGCCTCCCTGTACCCCCGTCCCGGGCTTTCCCTTCCCGTCCTGCTTTCCTCCACAGCCCGAGCTCCCTCGCCGCCCTTTCTCATGCCCTGCCCTCGCTCCTCTCTTCCCGTGCCCCCTTTCCTTCTTTGCCCCGCAGCCGCGGGGCTCGGGCTGCCGGAGAATAAATCCCCGAGGGCCGGAGCCCGGCGCCCCTGGGCCCTTGCAGGAGTCCCCCCGCGCGGGGCCGGAGGCTCTCGGCGGATCCCCCCGTGCCGCTCAAGCAGCCCGGCCGACAGCGCCGGAGCTGCGGCTTTGCCGGCATCGCGCTGAGAGCGGCCCCCGCTCCGTGCCGGGCCGTCCCCGCCGTCTGTGCCGCTCCCTCTCTCGCTGCCCCTGGCCCGTGACAGCGAGGCTGAGCAGGAACCTCAACCCTTCTGGGGGCTGCCCCCCCTTTCTTGCTGGGGCCATGCACGTGTGGGAAGGGCTTGGGGGAAGCGCTGCGCTGCTGTCCAGGGCAGTTGGATTCGTTCTGAGCCTTCTTTGGGGGTCAGGGAAAGGGGGGGTGAAGACTCGGGGCTTTGATGCCGTTGGGGGCACCCCAAGGTGCCCAGGAGAGGGAGCCCCACGGCGGTGCAGGAGCAGGTGGGGGGCGGGCGAGGGTGGGCGGGTCAAGCTGGGTGCCATCCCCCAGAGGGACCCAAAGCTGCCACCAAATGCACAGGGAGGGGTGAGTGGGTGTAGGATGCTAAAACCTGGCAAGGTATTCGGTTTTCTAGGTATTGCTAAAGAATAGGAATTGGTCTCTAAATTCAACTGGGGAGAAACCCTCTCTATGCACTCATTTGTTTACAGGAAATTAGGAAGCTCTGACCGGAGATGGGTAGTAGTTCTGAAGATATTGCCGTGAGGTTTTGATCTAGGAACGGACCGAGCTGTGCCCTGGAACCCTCAGAACAGCTGCAGGGGCTGAAGGCGATAGAAAGGGCTCTCTGGCACCTTTTGCCTCTGTTCTCTGCCAGTGCCCAAATCGTGTCACAGTCCCGGAAGAGGCGCTTGTCTTCCAGAGAGCCAAAAGGAAGACGTGTAAAATCCCAGCTCTGCCTTGTGTTTCGTGTGGGTTTTTTACTTCGTATTGATGTCATTCCAGAGAGCAAGGAAAGAAGAAATGTGACCGGGTCCCACTATTACTGTGTGAAGGCTTTTTTTGAAAGGCTGCTGTATTTATATTGTCTTTTTCCACTCCAAGCTTGACTTTTGCCCTCGTTTTTCGAGCTCTGCTGCATTGGGTGTCCCAAGGAGGGCGGGGTTCCTCAGCAGGGCTCTCAGGAGGTGGCACTGATTCTGCTTTTTCTGAAGGCGTCTCAAAGCGTGCTACCAGAATGACAGTTTTGTGCACTGGAAAGCTTTCCCTCAGTGCCATCAGCGCACGTCCGTGTCTGAATTGTGGAAGCAGACGGACTAAGAAAAGCCAGCACCTGGAGCAGATTTCTGTTGGCTCTGTGTCTGTGAGAAGCGGGCTGTGTGCTGGATGGGGAGAGGCGCCACTGGAGAGTGGCATCAGCGCCAGGTGTGAGCTGTGAGGATGATGGAGGGCTCGGAGCAGCGCCAGGTGTGAGCTGTGAGGATGATGAGGGGCCGGCTCCTGCCGGGGGAGGGGAGGCTGTTTTACGGGGAGGCTTTGCCTCAGCTCCCTTTTGCATGGAGCTGCTGAGTAGAGGGGTTCATGGGGGGCTCCCGGGGCTGTCTCATGGAAGGACTGCGAGAGCTTCTCGCAGCGTCTGGGCGAACACCTGGATACGCGCTTGGATCTGCGGAGCATCGCTTCAAGGAGGTGCCGAGGGACGAATCTTTGTGCCGGGAAGCAGCAGCCGAACGGGTGAGCGCGTGTGGATTTGGAGCGGGGACTTTTGTCCTTTCCCTTTTCAATCTCATCTTGCTAGTCCCTCCCCGGTTCTTCAGGAACAAAAATGCAGCTTTTGAGGACAAAAGAAATTAAGGAGAGAGAAGCAGCTACTCCCCTAATATTGTCTGAGTTTGAACTGGGGGGGATCCGCCTTCACTTACCGTTTTATGGGTGTTGATTGAAAGAAAACCTGTCTTTTCCAGGCTGTTAGGGGTCTCCCAGGGGTGACAGGGAATCCCTGCGTTCCATTTGAACGGGAATGGGCAAAGTATTGTTGTCATATTATGGGTTTTGCTGGAATCCATAAAGTTAAAGGGTTTTGAGAAAATGGTAAAAAAGCAGGCCCCAAAAAGCCAGCAAGGACAGAGAAATGCCAAGATAGCAGAATGAGTTTTAGGCTGCAGCTTAGACATGAGAAATAGAACAATAAGCCTATGTGGTTTGTCCTTTTTGGTTGCGACAAATTTACTTGATGTATATTTTAGAAGGCTTACATGAATATGTTAGTTAGTTGGCCATTGTGTTAGAAAATATGCCGCTATTGTTTTAACCAAAGCTATGTATTCTCCATGTAATTGGGTAGAAGTAATGTGAATATGCTTTTGCTCTATGTGTGATTGGCTGAAACTTGGGAAGATTTTGCTTTATGCTGTTGTATACATTGTTATGTATACAACAATGTTACATGTTGTAACATTATGTTTCTTTGGCATTCTGTTTAAATCAGTGAGCTGTTCACATCGAGTGTCTCCATTGTTAAGTGTTGAGACTGATGTTGAAATAAACCAGCTCAAGACACTGATTTTTGAGTGGCCCGTCCTGTTCGAGTCTGTAAATAGTTGCCAGTGGCAGGTTTGAAAATGGCAGCCCATTTTCATCATCCTAAGATTTAAATGGAGGGGACAGCGCTGGTGTCCCTCCTTTGCAAGGGTTTGAATTGAGGTCAAAATCCCCCTTTCCACATGGCTTGAAGGATTTCATTGGAGGAAAGCCCCTTCTTTTCTGCTCTCCTAGGGGATGAACTTGAAGGGGAGTGAAGCAAGGTGAGCCCCGCCCACGGCGTCAGTTTTGGGGTTCAGTTGTGGGAAGCTGCAGCTCTGGCAGTGTTTGCAGGGCTGCAGTCAGGCTGTGCTGCTGCATTTAAGGGCGCTTCTTGTGCCCGT